TCTCTCAGGTCTGAAAATGGCGGTTCACACTTACGAAAAATTACTAAGAATTAGTATATACTTGACCAAAGTGGCGATAACTAAAAGACTATAGGAATAAGAGTTATTCTGGGATTAGTGTTTAAGTCAAGAATGTCTTAGTTTAGTGAAAGAGTGATTGACTGCCTCTCGGTAGCAGTTACTCTAACTCACTAAAGTGTCATTGCAAATTAATAATTTTTGGGTACATTTTTACATTTGTTAAATTTGATTGGATTAAAAAAAAGGATTAAGTCAATTCAATAATAGAATTTGTTTTAAATCTCAGCATGTCAAGCTCAATAGTACAATTACTTGCTTCTGAGAAATTAAACGGTGATTATTACGCAACAAGAAAATTAGACCTAAACACAATACTTGTAAATCATGATTTGAGGTTTGTTTTAACTGAGGAATGTCCCCTAAACCCCAGCTCAAATGCAAACCGAACAATTTGGGATGCATATGACAAAAAGGGTAAGGGGAAAGATAAGATTTCTACTGACCACAAACGTAAGGTTCAAAATACACATAATGGAAAATGTTTCCATTGCAATGAAAACGAGCACTGAAAAAGTGACTGCCCAAAATACCTTGCAGGGAAGAAAGCTGAAAAGGCACAACAAGGTAAATATGATTTACTAATTGTAAAAATATGTTTAGTAGAGTATGATCACTCAACCTGGATACTGGATTCAGGGGCCACTAATCATATTTGTTCTTTTTCTCAGGAAACTAGTTTCTGGATAATGCTTGCGGAAGGCGAAATAACACTCAAGATTGGAACAGGAGAAGTTGTCTCAGCAAGATTAGTAGGAAATTTAAAGTTGTTTTTTTGGAGATAGATTCATTATATTATATAATGTACTTTTTGTTCCTCGAATAAAAAGAAATTTAATATCTATCTCTTGTTTATTAGGACAATTGTATAAAGTATTTTTTGAAATCAATGAAGTGTTCATTTGCAAAAGAGGTATTCATATTTGTTCTGCAAAACTAGAAAACAACTTATATATATGTTAAAATCGAGCGAAACAAAAGCTATTTTAAATACCATGATGTTTAAAACAGTTGAAACTCAAAATAAACACAAAAGATTTCTCATAATACCTATCTTTGACATTTAAGACTAGGGCACATTAATCTCAATAGGATTAAGAGATTGGTTAAAAGAGGACTTCTAAAACGGTTAGAAGACAACTCTTTACCTCCATGTGAGTTCTTTCTTGAGGGTAAAATGACTAAACGACCTTTTTCCGAAAAAAGGTTATAGAGCCAAATAAACCTTAGAACTCGTGCATACAGATCTTTGTTGTCCAATTGAATGTCCAAGTAGGAGGATATGAATATTTAATTAGTTTTATGGATGATTATTCAAGGTATGGCTATATATACCTAATGCATCACAAGTCCGAAGCTCTTGAAAAGTTCAGAGAGTATAAGATTGAGATTGAGAATCTATTAGGAAAAACTATTAAAACACTTTGATCAGATCGAGATGGAAAGTATATGGACTTAAGATTCCAGGACTATATGATATAACATGGAATAACGTCTTAACTCTCAGCCCCCTAGTATGCCTCAATAGAACGATGTATCAGAAAGGAGAAATAGAACTCTGTTAGACATGGTTCAGTCTATGATGAGTTTTGCTCAATTACCTGATTCGTTTTGGGGATATGTAATGGAGACTGTTGCATACATTTTGAACATGGTTTCTTCTAAAAGTGTTACAGAAACACCTTATGAGTTATGGAGAGGGCGTAAAGGTAGTATCAACAAACGCTACATTCTTAGAGGAATACCACGTAAGAAATCATCAACCTCACAGCAAACTAGTATTGAGTGATATTTCTAAAGAAGCTACTGATAAAACAAAAAGAGTTATTGATCAGGTAGGTCCTTCAACAAGAGTTGTTGATGGAGCTGGACACTTTTGGTCAATCACATCCTTCTCAAGAGTTGAGAATGCTTCGATGTAGTGGAGGGTAATAACTCAACCCGATCATTACTTGGGTTTGGCAGAAACACAGGTCATCATACCTGATGATGGCGTTGATGATCCATTGACCTATAAACAAACAATGAATGATGAAGATAGAGATCAGTATATCAAAGCCATGAATCTTGAAATGGAGTCAATGTACTTCAATACAGTATGGGAACTTGTAAATCAACCAGAAAGGGTAAAACCTATTGGTTGCTAATGAATCTATAAGAGGAAACGAGACCAAAGCGGTAAGGTGCCGACCTTTAAAGCTCGACTTGTAGCAAAGTGTTATACCCAAAGAGAGGGGGTGGACTATGAAGAAACCTTCTCTCCTGTTGTTATGCTTAAATCGATTAGAATACTCTTGTCCATTGCCACATATTATGATTATGAAATTTGGCAAATGAATGTCAAGACATCCTTTCTAAACGGAAATCTTGAGGAGAGTATCTATATGGCTCAACTAGAGGGGTTCATTGAACAGGATCACGAGCAAAGGGTTTTACGATCATTAATCTAAATCCAATAAACTAAGAACACTCTGGCTATAGTATGATTACTTGAACTATATGTAGTGATATAAGAGTGGATCAAGTTCAAGTATATAGTCAAAAAAATCTATAGTATAGGGATAAGGCTGAGTACCTTATTTTGGAGACACTATGGATGCGACCCACTTTGTATATGATATAAACAATGTGATCACTAAATTGTACATGTGGAGACATGTGACTAGGGGCGTCCTATACAATGAGTTATTGCATAAGATCATACCATGAAGAAAATCACTCTCACTTTATAATGCCGCTTACTATTGAGACTGATTTTTTCATTCGATGACCTAGGTAACTCCACCTTAATCTTGAGCTAACTATGAACTCCTGTTTATTCGAAATTATTCTTAGATTTGTTTGGGTGAGAGTGGCTCGAGTTCACTGACACAATAAGCCTCCCATTTCAAGGGTAAGACTGGTTGAATAGCTGGGGACATAGGGTGCAAAATAGAATTCACTCCTACTCGCTTTTAGAAATAGTAGAGAGGTTGTTCCCTTAAGTACTGACTTCAGGTCTTAAATAAGGGGCCCCACCCTCTAATTGGCCTGAGAGGGATTCTGTTTACTAGTTGAACCACAAACCAATTGTTCATTAGAGGATCAGTGGGACATAAGAATCAACAGTAACTTTAGGGGTAAAAACGATAAATTGACCCAGCTCTAGTTACAAACAACCTGTGAATGATCAACTTACTAATCATGGTTTTATCAAATGAACAAAAATATATCTATAGTGAGGGGAGTGCAACTACTAGGCTATAGTGGAGTGTCCTAGTAGTTAACGAATGTTGGTTAAAAGGTTAATGAGTTTAGCCGGTTAATCTCGGATCGTTGGAGCCCATGATCTGTAGGTCCATTAGGTCCCCTTGCTAGCTCATATCGGACTAAACCTTATATACGAGAATTGGAGATATTTAAATAAGATTTAAATATTTTAATTATGAATAGGGATTCATAATCAATATCTGCCCGAATTGATTGGGAAGGACATTTGATTCAATGTTAAATATTAATTAAAATGTTTAATTAATCATTTAATATTAATTTGATTTGAAATTAATTATTTAAATTAATTGTTGAATTAAAATAGAGAAAGTCAAAATGTTACTACACTTAATGGAAAAATTCATTTTTGAGTCAGTGAAATATTGAGTGTCAATATATGATTTAACCAAACTTGCATGTTTGCTCAATAATCCCACAAATTTCAATGAAATTTTGAATGTCAAAATTTGATAATTTGACTATAAATAGAGTGATCAAGGTAAATATTCTTCATGAAAAACTTTGAGAAAATCTCTCAAAACTCTCTCTTTACATATACTAAATTACTATCAAGTTTAGTCTCTCACCGGATTCCACAATCCCATTCTAAGGCCGAAAAATAGTAGGGAAGACACTAGTGGTGGTTCAAAATCGATTCGTGAGGAAAAAGAAATTTGAACTACAAAAGGTTAGTATTTAAACTCATTGAGTTTTAATGCTTTTGAAGCTAGCTCATTCAGTGAGTCATTTTAACGTTACTTAAATCTAGAGCAAATCGATCGGTTCAAGGTCTTAACTCACGGTTCTTGGTGTTTTTCTTTTACGTCCTTAATTCATACTTAGTTTAAGGTTCATGTTGAAATCTAAGCGATTCCTACAAATATTTCTTAAGGAAAGTCCAAGATGGTACTTACCTCGTCGTTGACGCTCGAGACCTCTATTCTCGAGCTTTCGATATCCAAATTACTTCGAATTTTCTTTGAAAGATTCTTTAGAGTGTTTGATTTATGGAACTATAAGATTTTTTTATGAGAACTGGTCTGAAAAAGAGTAAAAATTGAAAAAAACTATTAAAGTTTTGGTTTAACATGACTGATTGAATCAGGTAGCTATAAATTTATACATCCTTATGATGTTGAATGCATTTATCATATATAACATAGTGGAGGATAAAACATAAAATCTTCAATCTTCCCGTCTCTACTTTTCCATATTTCTCTCCTTTACTCTTTTAAAAGCCAAAGCAATTAGTCAAAAGGATGTTGTAGAACTTTACGAGTCAACCCTACGCGCAGTAGTTTGAGCTACAAACAGCTCAGACAGCTTAGTTGAGTCAGTTGAAGAAGAGACAATTGAGTTATATTCAAGAAGAGATCGATAAAGAAGACCTATTATGTAGTGATTAATTGATAAAGAAATATATAGTGTAGAGATCTTAAACGCTAGAAAAAAATACTCACGCTTCAACATAACCGATTACATGTTGTGGCACCCAAAAGAGCACACGGACCGAACGATGAATCAATGAGATTCCATTGTTAGTTGTTACTCATTTACTGGCTAATTGTTGAAAATGACACCAAAAAGTTGAGCAAACTTTGTTTTCCGAACCTCTTTTCATTATTCTTCAGCTAACTGTGGAAGAAATCTAAAAAAGCTTAGCAAATCTGAAGTTTGCACCACCCAAAGTTCCAAATTGAACTTAAAATGCGAATTCAAATGACAAAATCAACTTCTCACAAGTACAACAGCCCTATTTATCATACTTTCTTCCTATTTAGGATGAACTTAGTATTCTTGTGTTGCAAATAGCTGGGGAAGACGCTCCCTTCAAATCAGCTTCATCTCTCTCTCACCTCTGGGTTCCTGAAATTATCAGTTGGCCAAGAAGATGAGATAGAATACCAGCGATGGAAGCAACAGCTATTATGTTCATAGAGCTTAGCTTAATCGAGACCTCTGAATGTGATCGAGAATGAGTAGCCTTGGTCCGGGCGGGATTTTGACATCTCTAAGCGCACTGTGGATATACCGAGTCAATAAATACATCATATCTACTAATTATAACACCTTAAGCACAAAAACTTTATATCAATTTACATGCCTATCAGTGAGCAGAGGCAAAGTCGAATCGGACAATAAGCCATTCTTGAAATTCTTCTCATAACCCTGTAGGCCAAGGTTATTCAACATGCTTCTTGTTTTAGCATAGTGCACATCTTCCACTGGTGGTTGAGAAAACCTTTCCCCTACCTGCAAAATAGCGTTAACTCTAACACGTGTCCCGGGATAAAAATCGCGTAAAATCACTGATTTTCTTTTCTGGTTGCCAAGATGCATGACTCGGGACTAACAGCCGAAGACATTCAAGATGGAAGAGTGCTAGAAATGCTTCAAAAGTATCAGAAGAAAATAAAAGAGTTGGTATTGATGCACACCTTGAAAATTCCACCTTGAACGAGGGCGAAAAAGAAACCAGAGGTAACAGCGTTGGCAGCCTGATTTGGACCTCCCATTCCACTCACCAATGAAAACAAAGCCCCAGATCCAAAAGCAGCCACCATGCTGTAAAAACAACCGAATATCAAAAAGCCCTTATGGTATTTCTAATGGGCCCCTATAAAATTGGGAATATGTGAATGAGTTGATCTACTAGGAGAAATTCCATAGCAACTTCGCTAAGATAGCTTCGTTCTAACGCCTCAAGTTACCCACCGATCCGAAGACCATTGATCGCACCCTTATCCACCCCCTCAAAATCAATTTACTAAAGACATCCACCCCTAAAAGGACTAAAGGGGGAAACGACGCCTTATCGAAAAATCCCTATCCACATGGTCAAAAGACATGTCAAAATCAGTTTCAGAGTATGATCTTTCTTTTTACCCCTCACATCTCAAGGATCTCATTAGCAACTAAGACTTGGACTCGAAATTTGACTTCCAATAATAAAGGTCCCTTGAGATTCAGAGATAGTGATTAGAAGAACATTTCCTTAACCTATTAGCCATAACCACCAATGAATCGAGAACAACTTAGGAGGTGTTTGGCCCATCAACTTGGGTTGGGTGGAGTGGATAAATAACTTGACTCCACCAATGAATAAATAACTTGACTCCACCAATTTCAACAGTATTCTCTATTTAATTCAATAAATTTATCGAGAAGCACCACTAGTGTTCACGATTGAAGTCTGCACATTTATCAAAGAATCCCATCTTCCTCTTTTTCCCTCCCCTCCCATGTTAATAATAAGTATTTTTAACATATTTGAAAAGTATAAAATGCTTATTTTTCAATTTTTGTTTTATAATTTTCCATAATTATACATCAATATCAATATTTTATAGATATTTTCTCGATATTTCCATAAAATCGAGACTTTATGCTCAAATCAAGACTTTAGTCTCCTGTGTATAATTTTTTAAACAAGAAACAAAAGTTTTTAGTGAAGAAATAGAAAGAGACTAATGCTCAAATATTGAACATCTCCTAAGTGGCCTGTTTCTTACATCAAAAACCAAAGATTCTTTGGATTAATGAATCCAAGGCAATTTATGGTTTGATAGAAACCAAGGAAACTTTGAAAGATAAGATCCTTGATAGGAAATATCATTTCAAATTCATCAACATCAAGCTTCTCGTTGGTGTTCTTTTGTCTTAAGTTACTGAAGGTTATTCATTGATAAGATCCTCGAGGAGAAGAGAGCATATCATTCAGGACTATTATACTAAATACTGAAGTCCCACAAGAAAGTCCCTTTTCTAAATTCATATGTACCCTTATTTTAAGTTTTAGTGATAACAAGAACTTGAACCACATTCAATATGATGAAGTATAAAATTTTAAAGGATTAATGGTGAGATCACACATTAGTTGAGGAGGAGAATGAAACATTCTTTATAAGAGTACGGAAAATTTTCCCTAGTAGATGCGTTTTTAAAATCTTGAGAGGAAGACGAAAGGGAAAGCCCAAATAGGACAATATCTGCTAGCGGTGAGATTGGACTGTGAGATCCCACATTGGTTGGGGAAGAGAACGAAACATTCTTTATAAGGGTGTGGAAACCTCTTCCTAGCAGACGCGCTTTAAAAACTTTAAGAGGGAGCCCGAAAGGGAAAGCCCAAAGAGAACAATATCTAGTAGCGGCGGGCTTGGACCATTATAAATGGTCTCAGAGCCAGACACCAGACGATGTGCTAGTGAGGAGGCTGAGCCCCGAAGGGGGGTGGACACGAGGCGGTGTGCTAGCAAGGACGCTGAGCCGCGAAAGGGGTGGGTTTGAGAGGGTCCCACATCGATTGGAGAAGGGAACGAGTGTCAACGAGGATGCTCGACCCCGAAGGGCGGTGGATCGTGAGATCTCACATTAGTTGGGGAGGAGAACGAAACATTCTTTATAACAGTGTGGAAATCCGAAAGGGAAAGCACAAAGAAGGCAATATCGGCTAGCAATGGGCTTGGGCAAGGTTGAAACTGAAAAGTAACACAAACAATAAAAACTAAGTGAAACAAAGGCCTAAGAAATATACAAGGCATCTACATAGCACGCCTCATTAAACCTATATAACATTTGAGAAGCATAGTTAACACAATATTGCCAGCATGTTTTTTTTTTCCCTATTTTAAAAAAACAGCTCAAATGTCTTTGATATTGGTGCTCTGTTCTCAAACTAAAAGATTTGGTCTCCAAAAGGAACATCCTTTAGATGACCTTACTTGAACAGGACCTGTTCAATAGATTGTATAAATGTGTCTTTGAGTTCTAAAAACAAAAGGAACATCCTTTGGTTACAGCTTGTATGAGACTTATTTGGCACTTAATCCTTGAACAAACAATGGAATCTTTCAGATTTTCTCATCTTTGTGGCCTTGATGCAAGTTTTATGGCCATTTTTTAGCTACAACCTCAGTATTCTTTGTGCCAATTGGAAGAGTTTTTTATCCCTCTTTCATAATTTCATTTCTTCAACAAAACTAGTTTTTCATTAAAAAAAGTAAAATGAAATTAACAAAGCCAGGGACTGCGAAGCTTGATGATAGGTCTAATTATCAAGCAGGAAAAGGAACCGTACCTTGACTGGACATCCTCCTTGCCTCTCAATCTCTTCATAACAGAAGATATGCCGGCATTGACACCGGTCATCACGGCAAAGTTGCGAGCCTGTACTAAGGGACCTCCAGCAAGAGCCTACAATTTAGAAAGAAAACCATAAAAATTAGGTACCCAAGATTCCATAGCATCATATTTGTTCATTAAAGAACTGAAATGTGGAAATAAGGGGATTTTCAATTACTCTCCTTCTTAATATTGTAAGAAAACAAAAAATAGGAAGGGACAGAGTAGGACCTGGGCCTGCTTGAAAGAAGCCATGGCTTGAGGGTTGAGGCCGACCTGAGGAGTGGGCAGAGACGAAGAAACGTCGTTGGTGAGAGTGCCCATAAAACCACCAATAGCAGCGCCCTGCACAGCGCTGGTGGCGGTGACAACGGCGGCCTCAACTGGGAGAGACTGCTTGGCTAACCAGGTTTTGAACCCATTTTCCAACTCCTTGAAACGAGCTTGAATCTGCTCCACTGGGTTCTGTGGAGGAGTGAATTTAACCGCCACGCCCTGTTTCCCCTGCTCCATCTACAATACAAAGTCGGCTAGAGCGTTTGATGTTCTTGGCTCCTCCCCAATTCCGCCCGGCGACAGGTAATTTTGCAGAGAAGTTGAGGGTTGAAGCCGGATGAAGAGAGAATGGATAGATAACAATTATATATTTCATTTACTTATTTAATCCTACAATCCCAACCAAACCCTAATATAAAAAAATGCTAAATTAATACAAAATAATTTTAAACTAATACCTTTAAAAATTTTAATATATATATCCTTTAACTCAAAACAAAAAAAAAAAAAAAAACTTTAAATTTGTTAAAAAAATTTAAAAATATATTTATAACATTTCAAAAATACTCATAAATTTTCAAAAGTAACATTCAAATATCATAGATAATATGTAAAGTGTGATAGACGATTTTAATCCATATATTAACACTAAAAATATATTTTTATTTTTTTATTTATAAAATTAATGGGTGTTATTGCTACATTTAAAATTTGATAAATATTTTTAAATGATATAAAAAAATTGAGATATTAGTAAAAAAATTTAAAATTGTCTGAGTATTTTTGTAGTATTTTTAAAATATTATTAAAAGTTTAAAAGTATTATTTTTTTTTACAAAAATTTAAAATTTAAATGTATTTTTATTAATTTAACTATAAATAAATAAATAAAACTAAATATACTAAAAATAGTGTTAATTTAATCTTAAACGGTTGGATTTTTTTTGGTCCTCCAAATTAAATTGGCATCAAATTCCAATACAATTTGATTTGTGAAATTAGATGATTATTGTAGTTTTAATTTTTAAATGCTAAATAAAATTATTTTGAAAATAATATATTTTTTTTCTTCCCTTATTAGGAATGTGCCTCTTAGCATTTGCATTTAGTTTTTTTAAATGAAAATATTAAAAAACAAATTAGCTTTTTTAACTTTTTGACTGCATGCATTCCACTTTTTTCTTTTTTTTTTCTCTTTAATTTTATTTAACTAAATAGTTTCCCATTTTAATATTTTGAATTAAAAGTATAATTATAATGATTTGACTTTTTAAAATTTTGGACTGAATTCAAGTTATAACACTTGTTATAACATTTATGCTTGAATCTAACATCTCAAAGGGAAGAAAAACTTAAAGGATTCAAGCAAAGGAATTAAATGATTCAAGCAAAAACAACCGCCTTAAACAAATTTCTTTTAAGGATTTAAGATTTTTTTCAAAAGAATTGGAGGAAAAAAAAATAGCAAAAGGGACAAAATGGTTTTTTTCTTTAAATTTTTAAGGAACTTTCCCTAATTTTAATTTCTTATCTACAAGAAATTTTATGATTCTTAAGAAAAAAAAAAGAATGACGGGTATGATGAAAAGTTTTAGAATACTTTTAGATTATTTTTAGAAAAAATAATAATAATATATTCAAAATGGTAAATGACCAAAATACCCCTGAATTTCGAGATAATTACGAAAAATGTCACAAATCAAAAAATCAGATATGCAATCGTGGACAATCATCAAAAAATCTTGTGAACCTCCAAATCCAACTATTGACACCAAATTTGATTATGTTTTAGAGAGTACACACCTCACCACATCCAATGACTAGAATATAAATTGGAAGTCGGTAGCTCGCTGATAGGAGATTGAGTGAGATGATATTTTTGATGGATAATCCAGAAAACTCAATCTCCAAATCACGACGATTTTAGTGGTTTCAACATCGGTTTAAGGTTCCCCTATACAGTCTGAAGTTGGGTCAGTAGTATGGAACAATAATCAAGTTGAGTTGAACTTCCAATCACAAGTAATAGTTGTTTAGATTTCGGATCTCCTACTCTCGGATTTCTTCTAAATTTGAGAGCAATTGTCCACCATTTTCCTTCAAACTCATTTCTACAACTTCTAAAAAAGATTACTCACAAGTTCTATGAAGGAATGGAGCGCTGGAAGAGCTTAGAACTTATTCCCCCCAAAAGAGGCCGCCATTAAAGAACTTCAAGGAAAGCTTGAAAATCCACTCCAAGCATACAAGCCAATTCGTCGAGTGAAAGCTATCCCAAACCGTTTATACACCTCCAAAGATTATTTCCATGGAAGACTACCAAGAGAAATAACCCCAAGAATGTGCCCAATTGAAGAAAATCAGTTTTTGGTATAATTTGGGGGTAAGTATCAAATTCCCTCCTTCGATCCATTTCTTCTCAAATTAAGCATTCCTTAGCTTCAGAGGGACAAGTTTGATGAAGAAATCGAGAGCTAAAACGTTGTGGAACAAGCAGCCCAAGAAAAGGAAGTTTTGCATTTTTGGGAGAGTTGTAGACTGAGGACGATTTCTTAAAATTAAGGTCCCACACTTAAAAGATGTTCCTCCAAATCAATCATTTAGCTAGAGGAAAGAATAAGAAAGAGGTTCCATGAAGAAATCGGTCCTGAAAATATCTAAAAACAGCTTTCCAATAAGGAATCCTCTATTTTGAACTCCGACGAGAAATCATATTTTTGACAAACTTTGGAGGCATCTTTAAGTTTTAGATATTGAAATCAAGTATGAAGAAGTAAAGTTTCAGATGACGACGCACATAAACACCCACATCTTCTTCCTGTCCAGAGGAAGAAGACGATGACGTGGTCGGTTCAACTGAACCGGGCATGTAACCAAACCATGACCTTTCCTTGGTTTTTCTTAATTTTAACCCTTTTCTAGATCAGCTCCCAAATAAAAATTTTATGGTTCCAGAAACTAACACAATAAGGAATCTTTGGAAGAAAATTGAGGTAATTCTGATAGCAAAAGCTCGAGAATGGAGGTCCTGAACGTCGACGACGAGGTAAGTAGTCATCTTAGACTTTTCTTAAGAAGTATTTGTAGAGACATGCTCCAACTTGCTACTTCTTATAAAACCTATTCCTAAGAACATGAAGGTATGTTTAAGATTTCAAGTTGATTAGAGAAAGTTTGGAACGTAAACCAAATTCGAACCTAAGAAACGCCTAAAGGAAACACCTCAAGTAACATTTATCCAAGACTTACTCTTCTAGAACCCTCTAAAGAATTCATTATGACTCTATGACTAATATGAACCAAAAGACATCAATCATACAATATACTTCAATGAAGATGTGAAGAAAATGTTGTTGAAATTATCAAAAGATATTTCAATTCATGTCACATTGAAGAAGAATAAAATTTCATTTGGGTGGATTACAATTTAGAGTTATTGTATTTCATTAATATATTTTATGACTTTTTATTTACTTTAGGTTACATTTACGTAATGGTTAATTATGGTCATAAAGTACGAATGTTAGAACTCTTTGGAATGCCTTTAATAGTTTTATTTTGAGGCTATATGAATTCATGTATGTTGTATGTGCAAGTAGACTTTGAAATGTAGTAAAAGAAGCATTTGTGCTTTTCTTTAGCCAATAACTAAGTTTCTTTGCAATTCTATGTAGTTTAGGTTGTATGAAGAATCATTCAAGCTTTGATATGATCAATCTTGCTTTAGAGTGATTCAAATCTCAAACAAGTGTTCTTGCCTTAGATATTTGATCAAAAAGAATCATTCAAGCTAGACATGATCGATCTTGCTTGTGAAGTGATTCGAATCTAAAACAAGTGTTCTTGGCTTGAGATATTCGATCAACAAGATAATCCAAATCTTAATCCCCTTGTAGTGATTTCATATCATTTGGTATCAAAGCTTTCATTTTGGTTGATTCCTTATCATTTAATATTAGAGTTTTCCTTTGGGCTGATTCCTTATTAATAACTTCCTATAATAACTTTTCCTTATTACTATAATAGGTTCATAAACTAAAAAATGCACGATGCAACTATGCCCAAAGAATAATAAGAAATACATAGAATGTTTAGGATTGAGAACACAAGCTCTACAACTACAAGATAAGACAATACACTCCATGCCTTAAAGATTTCATGATATGAAAGAATGCAAGGTAATACTCTAATCATGTCCAAGGTGATCCATGATCTCCTACTACGCAGTGCTTTTAGAGGCCCATGTTTTCCTCTTCTAGGTGGGATGCCCTATGTCACGGTCATGCATGTCCAAGGCGTGTTGTCAATGGCCACATGACAGATATCCTGGTCTTGCTTGTCCAGGACGCGTTGTCCATGATTGCAGGCCCATTCTAAACCTTTTTTACATGCTTTCATCCAAGATAGGTCTTTACCATTCCATATTGGGTCAGTATGAGGGTGTATGACCATTCACCAAAATCGTGTCTACACTTGCAAGAGCTAAAATGCCCCAAAATATACTATAGGGGGATATGACTAGTTGTCAACTTATTCCTACCCGATAGTTATATGTAGTAAGCCATTGTTGATGCCTTTTTGCTTACAATCTCATGTAACACCATTTCCAATTTCTCAAATCTTGCTTTCAAAACTCTCTTTCGAAATCTCTCTGCCCTCGTTTTCTAAAATTTTCTTTTTGAACTGGGGCCAGAGGCTCAAGTATACGTCGCTTGGTCATAGGCAATGCAAGAACGAATAGGCTTAACTTGCTTGTTGCTGGGAAGTGAGTATCGCACAATCGCAAGTCCGCTGCTATCAAAGTGCGATTTTGACACTCTGCACCATGTTTTTCTTAACAGGTTGTCATGTTTGGTCTCATGTTTCCCTCACCTAGATGAGATGTCTTGCACCATATTATGGGTACCCTATTCACGATTTGCAGAACACCATGTCATGTTTTGTACCAATCAAGTTACCTTTTTGGTCTTTCATGAGGAGTAATCTAGGGCCATGTTGGAACAAATACAATAAGAGGGTAAATTACCTTAGCCATGAATCAAGAATCTCTTAAGACCTCCTACGGTACAATATGTTCATGACTAAGACTACGCTACTTCAAACATATGTAGCCTTGAGCGTAGGTATACAGACTATGTCGCTTGGAAGGCATGAAGCCTTAGCATAGGTATTCAAGATGTATCATAGGGCAAGCCCTAGATGCAGAATCAGACTACATTTCTTGGAATGTAAGAGCCTTAAATGTAGGTTTTCAGACTGTATCGCAGAGCTAGCCCTAGATGCGGGTTCAGATTACGTAGCTTGGAACACATGAAGCCTTAAACGTAGGTTAAGAATGTGTTGCTTGAAACGTATGAAGCCTTGGACACAAGTTGTCAGGTTCGTGACTAGTATCGTAAATCCTAGGTGGAGTGTCTTGAAGAACGAACCAAGAACCGAACAAGAACCTAGAAAGCAACCAAGAACAAGACAACAATCAAATGCTAGAACAAGGATCAAGATCCAAGTTCGGAAGACAACGACCTAGAACATAGTACTAAAGCTCTCATATTAGAACCAAGGTTGAGACTCCAAGGACCAAAGTCCTCCCGCTAAGAATTCACAAGTTAAGAACATAACCAAAGGGCCTAAGTAATTGCAACAAGAACCAGAAACACGCCAAGAAAGGGTGTGGTGCCCTACATATCAAGAACACGATTAAGAGCCTACAAGTAGGCTACTTACTGATTCTTTGTACTCACTCCATGTTTTCCATGTTTTTCAGGTAAATAAGGAGCTAGTCGAGGTCAGGGAGCGAACTCTGGAGCAGGTGCTATAGACCAGTCTCACCAGTCATCCTCCACACCCTTTTGTTTTTAACACAACATTGAAAACAATTGAAAACAAATACAAAATAAATGAAGTGAAATAGAAGTAACGTGAAATGCAAGACAACTTATACTAACCTAAGACTAGGAATTTAAACATGCAACTACCCTATGCACGTGTTATAGTCTCTGTCTGCGATGCCGCCGTCACATGTACATGGGCGCCTTGCCTTTACCTGAAAAATGATGTGGCACATGGCCTGAGCACTTCGAATAATACTTAATACCCACACTACAGGGGCCATGCTAAATGCAATCACATGCAAACATGCTATACGGACGTATCTCTATCCCATCTCATGCTAGGGGTGGCCTTTAGTCCGGACTACTATAGATTTGTAGTACTTCCCTACACATGACCCACATGTGTAAGTGTGGATCCCCAAACGGCTCGCACACCCCTTGACTCTCTCTAGTCAAGCTAACTATCTGTAGCGACGTCTAGAAGCTAGCGGAACCCCTGATGTCATGCTACCCATGAACACCCTCATCATCATACTGTGCGTGTCTACACTCATCATTTCTTGGGGAAGTATCCCTATGCTTATGGACACACAAAATGCATGGGGTCTCTCTAGTTCTCATCTTATTATCTGTTCTGACACAACCTTAATCTCATCTTTTTCGTTACATTAAGTAACACATGCTCGCTAGATATTTATTTTAATATCATTTTCATGCTCTTAGGGTTACGTCCTAGGTAGATCTATCGACATGATGCAATATGACACTCATCATCATATAGCATGCTTAATATGGAAAACATCAACATATTAAAATAAACGTCATGCAATCATCATACTTATCATAACGCCACTAATAGCATCAAGCATACATCGAAATATATAAATTACGTACATCATCATGCATCAAAGCTCATACATCATAACTCATATATCATCATAACTCATATATCATCATAACTCATATATCATCATAACTCACACCTCATCATATACTAATGTGCGACATCATACGATACAACTCATACATTGTAAACATAAATATGGCATGCATCAACATACATCACCTCAAACAATTCTAATTGTAGCTCATACAATTTCTAGCCTATCCCATAGTAAGACCACTTACTTGGTTGGCTTTAGCCGGAGTTCTCCCTAATTTAATTAACGTAAGCTCCCGTTCTTCGAGAGCTACTCCAAACGTTGTTGGGGTTCGTTTTCTTTTACACCGTTTGTCACCTTTTATTAGTATTTCAAAATTAAATTAATAATCAATTAATAAATTTTAAATACAGCTCCAAAATGACCTCAATTACCTTAATCGGGGTCAAAAATAGGTAAAGGAGGATTGGAACAGTGGGAATGGAAAACCTACCCGAATAAGCCGAGGAAGCCACCAGAAGCCAAGTCGTGGAGCCGAGGGGCTATTTTTGTCATAGGTGGACATGTGGCAACACCAGGACAGGCCATGTCGTGCAGATGGCTTCGGATCAAGGCGGGGTTCTGGTCGTGGTTTGGGTCGCAGGTTCACGGCTGGCTGCAAATTACGTTAGCTTGGTCGAGGGATTTTGAGCCTCGGGTTAGTAGACTGGACCGCGGGTTGGTTACAGGGCTGAAAGGACTTGAGTCTCGAGTTTGCGGACGCGGGTTACAGAGCGGGCCCGGGACATGTTCCAGGCTGGACCGGCGTCTGGCTACTGGGTTATTAGGCTGTTGCAGGTTGGGCTGGCCGAAGGTGTGGGTTACAAAGTCATTGGGCTTCGGGTGCTATTGGCAGGCTGGAAAGCAGGTCGTCGGTATCCGATTCGGGTTCGACTCGAATTCGGTGGATTTTCTCTCTCTTTCTCACGACGATTTGAACATTTTCCTTCACTGTTCTTCTCATCAATCTCTCTGTTAGACCTTCTACTCCTCTTCCACGAAGTTTCGTGGTTGATGGATGTCGGGGGAGGCGGATCGAAGATTCTCTACAAATCCGATCTTTGGGTTCCTTCTCCGACGGTGACGACGACGACTACGCGGCATGTGTTCGCTCTAGATGGATGTATTTAGGCTGGTGAGGACTTTTTGGTGTGGTTTGCTCAGTATAGGGGTTGGGACTAACGGTTTCGAGGCCCTCCAAAGTTTGAATTTCTTTCTCTTTCTCGGTTTTCCTTTCCTTTCTTTTTATTTTTCTCTTTTTGCAGGTGTCTTTGGTCGTGGGGAGCGTCCTGATGATCCACATAAGCAGTGGTTGTGTGGAGTCCAAAAATTCCGGCAGTCAGCTGAAATTTTCGCCACTTCCCTGACGACCTTGAGACTCTTGTATTAACTCGAGGTACTTTCTCTTATTTCGTCCTCATGCTCACATGTGGCCTCCTCGGTGTGGTGGTTTCACCACAACACCTTAAGAAACATAATATCCTTATTGCGTAACCCTTTCACTCCCCGAGTTAAGATTCTTATTGGTTTTTCCTCATAACTCAAATCTTCATTGAGTTGGAGGGGATCATAATATATTGTGTGGATAGGGTTCGTCATGTATTTCCTCAACATCAACACATGAAATACATCGTGAAATACTACTAGATCAATTCATTTGAGAATCTCTGAATGGTCGGATGAATCTAGGACTTAACTTGCCCTTGCATCCAAATCACAAAATACCTTTCATGGGTGCTACCTTTAGGAATACTAGGTCCCCAATCTCAAACTCTAAGTTTTTATGCTTTATTTCGGCGTAGCTTTTCTAGCTACTTTGAGTAATACGCATCCTTGCTCGGATTTTCTAGACAGCTTCATTGGTGACTCACATCAGCTTGGGTCCTACTAACTCTCTCTCACCTACCTTGTACCAACATAGTACGGACCTACACTGTTTCCCATACAAGGCTTCAAACGGTGTCATTCCAATAGTGGCTTGGAAGCTATTATTGTACAAGATTTCCATCAAGTGGAGCTTGGAAACCTAACTTCCCTTAAAGGCTAATACACAAGCACGTAGCACGTCCTCTAGGATTTGGTTTACGCGCTCCGTTTGTCCATCTATTTCGGGGTGGAAGGCAATACTAAAGTCAAGGTGAGTACCCAACGCTTTTTGAAGTCAAGGTCTCGATTCGACACTATCGACATTGGAACTCCATGTAGTCTTACTATTACCTAGATCACTATGTAGCCCTTCAATGTTCTGGGTAGTCCTACTATGAAGTCCATTGCTATGTTTTCCCACTTCCACTCCGAAATACTTAGAGATTGTAACATCCCCGCTGTCTTTTGTCTGGGAGATTTCACTTGTCGACACAATAACTCGGCCACGTCTCTCTTCACGTTCCTCCACCAGAAGTGTTGTTCAAAATCTTGTTACATCTTAGTACCAATTGGATGCATGAAAAATGGCGAGTTGTATGCCTTTGGTAATATCTCTTCTTGTAATTCCTCTATTGCAGGGGCACATAGGCCTCCCTGACACAATAAACCTTCGTATGAGAATTTCGAAAATCCATCCACTAGACTCTTGGCTAGTTGGCTTAGGACTTTCTGTAGGTTAGGGTCCTCTCGTTGGGAGTCAATAATTCTTTGCCTAAGCGTGGGTTGGCTTGTTGGGTGGCTATTAGAGTGTGAATTAAGGCCTGGATTGACTCACACATTAGTCTGGTAGTAATGTCTATTCCAGCCACTGGGGCATAGCCTCAAGTGCGGCTTACGATGGCAGAGAAAATTGTGGTGGTAACACAACTTGTGGTGGCACAAAAGGTTACGACGCATGAGGTGGCGGCGTAATAGGTGGCGAGCAACTCGTGGCAGTGAGACTGGCGGTGACATACCTGCGCTTGACCCAGTCTCAGATCCTTATCGAGGTAGGCTCTCTTCATCCTCACCTCGTCCTCTTCCTCTAATAAGGGATCGTCCCCTTCCTCGTCTTCCTCTTTTGCATCCTCTAGGGGGCATGGTTCTAGAAACCAAAATAAGGTTACTTAAATATAAGGCTCATTAATAAGTATATATAGTGACGGGACATCGACATTGGGACTATGGAATGTGCCAAGTCTACATCATAGACTAGTGTACATAATCTAAAACCTAAAGCTCTTATGCTAATTATAAGAACCTTAAATTTCTACTTACTCAGAATCTTACTAATGTCTACTACTTAGCTCATATATGGAAAATACTCTTTAAATCGACATCATAAAATAGCATAAATTTTGAACGAATAAAAACAACTTCAACTTTAAAAGTACCGCCATGGTCTTTCGTGCTCTAACCCATAACATTGAAAAAAATTGAAAAAAATACAAAATAAATAAAATAAAATAAAAGTAACATTTGTTAGGTTGAATATTTCTTTTGTGTTATTTTTGTTTGAATCTTTTTTGATTTTAAGGAATTGGTTAGTCGTTCAGTAACAAGTAACAGTAGTACATAGGATTCAATGAACGAAAGAGAACAAGGAATAGAATAATAATCAATATTCGTAATGCACGCATTATTGTTGTTATATTAGACTCAAAGGATCGTTCTTCACCTAATTAGAAGAATGGTTTTAATATGGAAAGAATAAATGTAGAACCTAGTTTTGAGTGATCTGATCGTGCCATACTTTTTTCTTTTTATTCAAGATTTTATGGGAATGAACCCACTCCAGAAAATCTAATTAGTTGGAATCAAATTTAAATAAAGGGCATTATAGGATCATTCATTCTTCAGCGATTCAAAGAGCCGTTCATTTTTGGAAAAAAGTTGCACAACATAGTTTATTTATTACTTTTTTTCTTTTTTTCTTTTGTCTTTCTAATTATTTAGAATCTATTTAGATTTATATATTAAATTAATTTTTAATAAATTAATTATTGTTTATAATAAGAATATTAGTTTTTACAACTCTTGCGTTGTCCAATGAATCCGTTTATTCCGAATCGCGGGATAGAGAGATAGATGACGAATTGATTTCTTACCTATGTCACAAGATTTTTGTTAGTATCATCTATAATCATAATAATAGATCAATAAAAAACTTTCAATTGGTATTTTTACTTATCCATCGGTGTATCTTTCAAAAATAGAAACTTAGGGAAGTGCTTTATAAACATATGGATAAAAACAACGTATTTCATTTAGCCTCGTCATGCCTACTCTCACTAGTTATTTCGGTTTTCTACTAGCTATTTTAACTCTAACCTCAGCTCTATTTATCGGTCTGAACAAGATACGACTTATTTGATTGAAATTAATTGAATGTACAATTAAAAAAAAAGAAACGTTTCTGTGGTATTCCATATATTCTATATATTGTAGAGTTCTTTACCTTGTCAATTCAATTTCCAATTCCTGGTCATTGAGATTCATGGGCAATACCGATTAATATTTTAAGGATAGATATTACCTCTCCTTTTCCTCGTTCAACTAAATTGAGAATCCACAAATCCAGGGGGCTGCTTCATATAAACATCTTCATTAAGAAAGCCATGAAGAAAAACATTTTGAATATCAATCTGCCGAATAGCCCAACCACGAGAAATAGCAAGAGATAGTAAGAGTCGAATGGTAGTGGGCTTAACAACTGGACTAAAGGTATCATCATAATCAATGTCATACTGCTATTTAAACACTTTAGCAACCAAGCGTGCTTTGTAGTGATCAATAGAGCCATCTGGCTTTTGCTTGAGTTTGAAAACCCATTTGCAATCAATAATGTTAAGACGAGCACGAGGAGGAACTAAGTGCCATGTCTTATTTTTTTGAAGTGCCTGAAATTCATCATTCATTGACTGACGCCAAAGAGGATGCTCCATAGCAGTAATATGTGAAATAGGTTCAGAGGCAGAAGACCGAACTACAAAATATGTTATTGTTTCATCTGTACGCACCTTGGGTTTCTTGATATTGTGCTTCAATCGAGTACCATATGGATGAGTAGTAGGTGCAGGATCCACATTTGAGGGGACAGCCGTATCAGCCATTGCGAGGGGAGCAACCGATGCTACAGCAGTTGGTTGACTAGCGGCAGAGGATTCGACCGACATTGTGCAATATCATCTGCTGGCAGAGGAGTCGAGGCCTCAATCATTGGCGGAACAACCAACACCGATTCGTATGGCAGCGACGCGGAGGATTGCTGCGACAATTCCGAAGTTGATGTAGACACCAAATTTTCTGCATCCAAAGAGTTAGTAGGCACAGACATATGCATGTGATCATTCTCCAAATTAGTACTGCTATTACCCAAATGCAAGGCACACAAATCAGGGGCATTATGCGTCGACTGCATGATTGAGGAAGAAATAGGTGGGGCTCTCTTGAATGGAAAAACATTTTCATCAAATATGACGTCTCTAGACATATAGACACGACCAGAATCTGTATCAAGACACTTATACCCTTTATGTAAAGAACTGTAGCCTAGAAAGACACATTCTTTTGATCGAAAAGAGAGCTTTTGTTTGTTATAAGGACGAAGATGAGGCTAACAAGCACACCCAAAATTTTTTAATAAGGAGTAATTTGGTGGGGTATGAAAAAGATGCTCTAAGGGGCATTTGTTATCGATGACACGAGTAGGAAGACGATTGATGAGATATGTGGCTGTAAGAAATGCGTCTTCCCAAAATTTAATAGGTACATGAGCATGAGCTAGAAGGGCTAGGCCAGTTTCAACAATATGACGGTGCTTGCATTCAGCAGACCCATTTTGTTGATGTGTGTGATGGCACGAAACACGATGAGCAATTCCAAGGGAAAGAAAAAATGTGTTATGAATTTTCTGATATTCCCCACCCCAATCAGATTGGACCCACTTGATTTTAGTATCTAGGAGGCGCTCAACATGAGCTTGGAATTGCAAAAATATACGAGGAGCTTCTATACGATCATGCATCAAATAGATCTACGAAAATTTACTAAAATCATCAATGAAGCTAATATAATATTTAAAACCCCCAACAGATGGAGTGCAGGGCCCCAAACATCCGAAAAAATAAGTTCCAAAGGTGACGAAGACCTATGGAAAGAACTAGTATATGGTAACTGATGACTTTTTGCTGACTAACACGCATTACAAACTGACAAAGATGACTCACTAGGACATGAAATATTATTGAGACGCAAAATTGATTTTACTACTTGAGATGAAAGATGTCCAAGACGTGCATGCCATTGGGCGTGAGTAGTAGATCTGCTCACCAAGGCATGCTTGAGATCATCGACATCGGATGGCTTAATAAGATAAAGACCAGATTCACACCTCCCATCTAGGAGACTTTTCCTCGACCGTCGATCCTTTATAGAAAAATGTCAAGGATGGAATTCAAAAAATACGTCATTATCACGAGAAAATTTATGAACGGAAAGAAGATGTTTGGAAATTTCAGGCACATGCAAAATATTACGCATGCAAGAGGACGAGTAGCAGTATTAATTAGAGAATGACCAGTATGCAAAACACGCAATCCTGCTCCATTGCCGACTTGAACTTGTTCACCTCCATGATAGCGTTCACGCACAGCGAGACGATCTAGGTCACTGGTGATATGATCCGTAGCGTCTGTGTCGCTGTACCAATTTGGGTCAATCTTGTAAGAGGAAGTAGCCGCCAGTGCCGTAGGTTGAATCTTCTTCTGCTCTGATACTATGTTAGGTTGAATGACTCAATGACCTGACCTAGGGTCATGACCTCATGTATTTATAAATGTGTATAATGAAGATTACATCTAAATCATAGATTTAGTAACAAACCATGAAATCATAGATTTGGTAACAAAACTAGTAAATCACTAGATTATCTTACTATACACAAATATGATCTATTCTACGTTTAACAACATTAAATGTAAGACAACCTATACTAACATAAGACTAGGAATTTAAACATTCAACTACCCTATGCACGTGCCATGATCTTGGACTGTGATGTTGCCGTCATTCGTACATGGGTACCTTTCCTTGCCTTTACCTGAAAAATGATGTGACATTTTTTTATTTTTCAGATAAATGATGGCATTTACCCGACTTCCTACCCTATTTTTCGATTCTTTTTCTCTCTCCTTCTCGCGACTGTTTTCGACGTTCTCCTTCACCATTCTTCTCCTCAATCTCTCTATTAGACCTTCTACTCCTTTTCAACGATGTTTCGTGGCTGATGAACATCGAGGGAGGCGGATCAGAGATTCTCCAAAAATTCGATTATTGGGTTCCTTCTCTAACGGTGACGATGACGACTATATGGCGTTTGTTCGCTCTGGATGGATGTATTTAGGTCGGTGAGGAATTTTTGGTGTGGTTTTCTCAGTATAGGGGTCGGGGCTAACAGTTTCGAGGCTCGTCGGAGGTTGAATTTCTTTCTCTCTCTCTCAGTTTTCCTTTCCTTTCTTTCTTGTTTTCTCTTTTTGCAGGTGTCTTCGGTCGTGCGGAGGGTGGCTGAAGGGTTGGGGAGCGTCCTGACGATCCACAGAAGATGTGGTCGTGTGGAATACGAAAATTTCGACGATCGCTAGAATTTTCGCGACTTCTCCTGCGACTTTATTTATTTTTTTTTTTTCAATCATTAGGGTCACAATCTTGGAATGAAAATAGTAGATCAGAGTAGATTGAGATGGACAAAGTTGTGTAATCAATCTAGTTATTCCATTCAAATAATTGACATCAAACTTTTTTTTTTCCCACAAATTTAGACTTTTTTTCATATGCATATTACTTATATTTTTCTTTATTGTTTCATAGATATGAACTTAAGAAAGGGTTACTTCTAGCTTAAATAAACCTCCCGTTCGAATAAAATGAAATGTACAGTATTTCACTATATATGACCTACACGTGCAACATTGGACCATGAGTCTACCTAATATTATGATTTTGCATATGTTAGAATGTTTTACTTTATTTTATTTTTATTTTATTTTATTTTATTGAAAAATGAAAATTATCCATTATGTTCACATAATGTAATAATACTTGTATTAGACAGCTTTTAGGGGTTGTAAATTTATAAAATTTATGTTGAAATATTGTAAATAGAAATCAAAAGCATCCATTTTTAAAATCAAAAGACTAAAATAGTAAATTTAAGAAATAAATTAACTAAAATAAACCAAAGTTCTGGTAGCTCTATATCGGGTGAGCATGCTCTCATAGCTCTTTATGTCGAACACTCGTTAGAATTAGTAACCGTTACGATAGCATTATTAAGAATGTTTGATTAATCCATCACGTCTAAATGATGTGAAAGTTATCTTATTTATAATCAAATAAATTACAAGAATATGGAAATAATAATAAATGGAAATAACAATAAATGTAAAGATACCTAGGGAAATAAGAAAAATATTAGCTATTTGCCTTATAATAAAATATCAAATGTAATATATATGGTAAACCATAATTTATTACTAAATATCCTTAACACCCCACTGCAAGCTAAGCGTCGGATTTAAACGAATGTGAATCTTAAATCTGAAAAATTCAAAGAGATTGAGAAACACTTTTCGTGAAGATGTCAACAACTCGGTTCAGAGGAGGCGCTTTCTTGGACATCGAAAATTGCAGAGGGATCGCCGCTCAGCGGCTTGCTGTCTTGCCTTCAGCGAGAATATGTCTGACCCATGAAAAGGGATTGTCGCTTAGCGACGATGTTGCCTTAGCTCTAGTGAGAATATGTCTAACCCCAAAAAGTAGAAGGAGAAATCTAGAGCAAGGGACAAAGACAATGTTGAAGCTGGAAGAGTCGCCACATTGGGCGAAGGAGCCAATTTTGGCGAGAAGGGCCGTCGGAAGAGTCGCCACATTGGGCGAAGGAACCAATTTTGGCAGGAAGGGTGGCGGAAACTTGGTCGGCGAAGAGGTCAGTGCGACACCTAGATTCCAAAGGTAAATCTCTGCAAAAGGTTGATGACTTGTCGAGATTCCGTATATTTCTGAAGAGAACACTAATGAGGATCCTGAGATTAGGGTTTCTGTGAAGGATGAAAGGTTGATTGGGAAGAAAATGAGAGAGACTATATTGACCAAGAGGAAAACCGATTGGGTTGGAAAAGGTGAGGTTGTATGCACAGAGTATGACGAAAGGTGAGGTTGTATGCCATGAAGATTGCCCCTGCGGCGTCAAAGCCAGTAGGGGTGGTGGAGAAGAAGATTAGATGATTCAAAAGCTATTGAAAAGAAAGAATCGGAGTTGTTAAACCGAGACGGCTTTGATACCATAAGAATGTTTGATTAATCCACCACACCTAAATGGTGTGAAAGTTATCTTATTTATAATCAAATAAATTACAAGAATATGGAAATAATAATAATAAATGGAAATAACAATAAATGAAAAGATACCTAGATAAGGCAAATATTAGATATTTGCCTTATAATAAAATATCAAATATAATATATATGGTAAACTATAATTTATTACTATATATCTTTAACAATTATGTAAAAAGTAATGATAGTTCTCCTGCCTGTTGGTGTTCGCGTCTGTACTCTCGTGATGGTATAGGAGTATCTCCCAATGCATGAACACACATGATGCATGAGATCTCAATATTTTTCCATTTTCAACATTATTAAATATAATCTCAGCTCTCATTTTTCATTCATATCATATCATTTCTCGTTTTTTCCGTTCTTATATCATACATACTTTTAATTGGGTTCTCATATCATACATGTTATGTACATACAATTTAGGTGACATAACATAACATTTCATGACGTGCGATTCATACAGTAATTACCTCAACGATCACGTAAAACAATCGAAATCGAATCGAGTCAATTCAGAAAAAATAACCAAACCCCTATAATTCGGATTGGATTGGTCCAAATTGTCAGTTAGATGTACACCTCGCATTTACCCAATAAATAAATAAACAAACCAATAATATATAAATAAACAAACAAATAAATAATCAGGTCAATGAGTCTGTAAAATCAGTCTTTACCTCCTAACATATAATACAAACGCCCACCACCTACGCACCAATTTCAAAAGATAATAATACCCACCACCGACACGTGGCTCTCACGCTCCAATTCCAAAAGTAATAACATTTTTTCTTTTACTCTTCTTATTTAATAAAAGTTTAAAATGGTAGAATTAGTAGAAAACATTAGTTTTTTATAAATAAATAAATAAATAAATGATTAATTCATTAAATAATGTCGGGTTCCCCGTAATATAGTTTGTGTGATTAGGGCCGACAAATATCATCCACCTTCCATAATCTAATATATCCCTTATTTAACTCCTAAAATTCGCTCTTTGTCGGGTTCTTCTTCTTTTATTTACTTACTCTCCAGCCAGTATAGGATAAGAAAGGAGAGGTTCAGGAGTTCAAGAAGAATTGAATGAATTTACGAGACAGGAAAATCGCTAAAGCTAATTCATTGATTCTTTCATTCTCAATAGGTGGTTCAGTAGGGGAATACAGGAGAGGTGCAGGGGAAGGTTCTTCTCATCCAGCCTATGTTACAGAGTGAAACCCCAGTTCAAGGGAGAAAGATCAGTTAAAGAAGGGTCCGGATCAGGAGTTTACAGTGAAAGAAGTAGGAGTAGAGTCTTTCCTTACAGTTCCGGTTGAACGAACTATCTCTTTGATTGAACGAGTAGGTATTTGGTCAGGTAATATGGAATAGCGCAATCTTTGGTTTCCTATTACTCTGACTCCCCGCCGGTCATCTAGAGTGCTCCGCCCGCCACCGCATATCTAGAAAAAGAGGGAGCGGGGAAGGAAGAACAGGTCAAATCCCTATCAATAATAGGCCGGAAGGAATGGTGGGGAAGGATGCAATATTCTCTCAAATAAATATTACCCAATTCAACGTTAACCTATTCATTTTTTCGAGCGATTTTCTCTCCACTAAATTATACATAACCAAGTCTTAATAAGATAAAAACTGGAACAAATCCTCGTAGATAGAAGTTCGTTATTCACTAAAAATTAAGATTAAGTTGTATATGATCTAGCATTATTGGTATATAATACCTTACTCATATGAACAATTTGGATCAAATCGTTTTATAGTAAGTCAGATTTTTTTATAAAAAAAAAATGTAATAACAATTAAATTGATTTACGTGTATTTATCGAATCCAAAAAATTGGAACGAATTGTTTTATTATGATTAGGCAATGTTAAGAATAGAAGAAGAAAGGGTGGTGAGATTTCATATGTGATGAAATGGAATTACTTTCACAAGATACCATTCAACTTGAAGTGATGTTGAAATTGGTGAATTTTCTAAGATCCCACGTTGGATTGAAAGAAAAACGAAACATTCTTTATAACTGTGTGGAAACCTCTCCCTAATAAGAGTTATTTTAAAAATGTTGAGAGGAAGTTCAAAAGGAAAAAGGAGAGCCTAGATCGTCGCTTGTGTTATATATTCATATACGTATAACTCCATATGTAATATTTATTAAAACAAAACCCTTTTAACCATTCATGTAACAGTCTACACTAATAACTTTTAATCACGCAGAAACAAACAAAGACGAGTGAAGGAAGCATGAGAAATCCAAAGTGATTTCTATTACTCTTGAATAACACTATAAGCAAGTAAAATGATATTAGAATTTAGAAAGTTACTCGGCCATTACTCTTGTGACCAAGTCGATTTGAATTATGGCTAAATGTTATAGCTAAGTTATTCCAACATTAATATCAACCCGAGATGTTGATTTCAATAAGGAGTCTAAGCCTTGAATCTAGTTGTAATTCTTAAGATCATGGACAGGACAATTTAGGGGAGTTGAAGTAGACCTAGCCATAGGCACATGAGCTACTAAGCCACGACATTAAGAGCTGATCCATATGGTGATTAGAAAGAAAAAAACAAACATGCATTCATGTAAAAACAAGGGTTTCCTCACGCATAAAAACCAAGAAGAGCAAGATTAAAAGATTTTCTCAAAGTTCGATATAGTTGTGTGGGTTAGAGTGATGTCGTTGGGCTCACTAATTCCCCATAGCTTATGTAATTTCTATGAAGCAAATATTCAAGATCTCTAGTAGAGGTATACATCCAACCCGACAACCCGGACCAATCCAATCCGAATTATAGGGGTTGAGTTGAATTGAATTAGTATTTCGACTTGGGTTGAGTTGTTTTTTCTGAACCCGAAGTGACTCGGTTCGATTTAGGGTTCATAGGATAAAAAACTCGAGTTGACCCAAAAAAGAACAAAACTTATAAATTACATTGAGAATTTTGGTGTACGTAAAAATTTAGATTTTTTAAAATAATTTATACACAGGTTCAATTTAAGTCGGATTCATGTCTTTATTATTTGTTTGTTTCTTTTAAAATCATTTCATAATCTATCATTATATATAAAAAAAAAAAAAAAGAGAGTAATTTTAAACTAATCATTTTTATTATTTTCTTTATTCATAATT